AAAGGAGTCACTTGCATGGCTTGCTGTCTTTGCTGACTGCACGCGGCTGTGATTCCACAGTGGCACCGGAGCTTGAGTCGATCCCTGCTGCTGCGCATCTCCGACTTCTGCGCGCGCGACCTGCTGCCCCTTTACCTGATCCTCCGGCTCGACATCGCAAGCGCTGTGCTGAACCCGTGGGAGGCAGTGAAGGTGCACTGGTCTTGTATCACGCACTGGCTTGGCTGCTTGGGCTTGCTGGTGTTTCTTGGGGCAGGTGCCTCCCTTTTGCTGAGAACTGTGGCTGCTGATGTCGGACGACAAGGACGGCGGCTATGGCTCGTGGAGCCGAGTCCCGACTTGGGATGGCTCCCCTATGACTTGGAGGGCGTTTAAGCGAGAGATGTCCTGGTGGACAAGCTCTCTGGACCTCGAGGCCTCGAAGAAGTACAACCTGGCGGCGCGCTGGCTGCTTCGCCAGAGCGGCACTGTGCGGCAGTTCACGCCCGAGGAGCTTGGCTACCAGAAGGAGATCTCGCGCAAGGACCCCGAGACTGGTGAGCTGATGGTGCTGACTGAGGAAGACCCTTTGGCCGGCATCAACAAGCTCATGGCGGCGCTCGAGCAGATGAACGGCTTGACTTCTCTGGACAAGCGTGGCGAGCTGAGATCGCAATTCTACCTGACTTTGTCGCGGAAGCCGGGCGAGAGGGTAGCTGACTTCGCCACCCGCTACAGGACTTCCGTTGCGGACATGAAGGCCGAAGGCATCGTGCTCCCTGATGGCGAACTGGGCTGGTGGCTGAAGGAGAAGCTTGGGCTGGACGCTTTGAGGAAGCAGCTGCTGGAAACCGCCCTTGCTGGGGCGGAGGGCTTTAACGTCATTGAGGCCGAGATCCTGCGGCTGTTCCGCGATTTGCATCTCCAAGATCCTCTGTTCCGGCGGCTTGAGCGAGCCAACGCCCCAAAGCTGACCATTCGGAGGATGTTCGGGCCCCCGACTTCGAGCTCTACGGCTTCGACCTCTGGCGCGTCGGCGGCTCCTTCGAGGCGGTCTTCGTTCTCGACGGCATCTTAGGCTGCTCCTGCTCATCCTCGGCGTTTTGCCCCTCGGCAAGTTCAGGTTGCGGAGACCGAGTTGGCCGAGGACTACGGCGATGATGGCCCGGAAGGCGAGCACCTGCCTGAAGAGGACAGCCAGGAGGAGGTGCTGCAGACTGAGGTCGAGAACTTGGCGGATGAGATCGCGCAAGCGGAGGAAGAAGGCGTCGACCCGGTGCACCTTGAGGCGCTGGAGTCTGGCATCGAGGCGTCGGCTGAGGCTTTGGTGTCGATGCGGGAAGCCCGGGTGAAGCTTGCTGAAGTTCGTAAGGATCGTGGCTTCAAGGGCCCCCAAAGCCACTCGAGTGCCAAAGCAAAGGGCAAACCGGGCATCCTGGCCAAGAAAGCGAGGTTCCCTTGCTATGATTGCAACATGCCGGGGCACTGGGCTGGTGATCCGGAGTGTACTCGTCCTGGTGCAGGTCTCAAGCAGGTTCGTCTGGCGGAGGCGGCCGGGAACGAGGTCTCCAACACCGAGGTGGTCAACGACGCTGGCGCTCACGAGGCTTTGGTGGTCTCGGCTTTGGACGTTTAGGCGGCTTTGTCGGCTTCGCGGGCGAGGGCTTGGGCGAACGAAGCGCTGGCGGCCACGAGCACTTTGGCTGATAAGGCTTTGGTCGGCGCCTTGGATTCGGCATGCAACAGGACTTGTGCTGGTTCAGCTTGGCTCCAGAACTACTTGGACACCCTTGACGACGCTCCTGCCGAGATCCGCGGCTTGATCGACCAGGTTGACGAGGTCGAGAACTTTCGGTTCGGAAATGGAGGAACCATGCCTTCCAGAAAGCGCTGGCGGGTCCCGGCTTTCATCTGTGGCAAGGTCGTCTGTGTTTGGATTTTGGTGGTGGACGTGCCCTCGCTGGGCTTGCTGCTGGGCAGGGACTTCCTGGACGCGATCGAGGCGGCATCGACTTCAGCACGGCTACTCTGACTTGCCGTGCCTTGGATGGTTCACCAATGCCTTTGGAGCGCCTGATTGCTGGGCACTTGGCTCTGAAACTGATTCCGGATGCTTGGCCAGCGATGACAAAAGATTTCCGTTGGCGCCGCCTTGGGCCGGATGGAGTGCTCGAGTTTCCCTTGCACTGTCGTTTGTGGGCAGAACAGCTTTTGCGAGCTAGGCGTCGGGGTCAAGCCCCCGCACCGTTGCATGACCGCAATGTCACTGAAGCCTCCTTTCAACTTGGCGAGCTTGCCTTTGCGTTTCATAACGTTCTTTGCGCCGCGGCCCAAGCAAGCATGCAACCTGCACCGTGTACGAGCACGACCCCAACTTCCTTTCCTCCTGCACCGAATGTCGGTCAATCCGTTGAGCGGTGCACGGCCTGGGCCAGGCACCTCCTGCAGACGAGGTCAACGAGTCGCTGGCGATCACGCGATGGCGGCTGGTGGTGCGGATGGAGCGACGCCTGGAGTGGGCAAAGCGCGGGGTCTTGCTGCCTTGGCAAAGCGTCCCGATCTTCGCTGGCTTCCGTATCCGTACCCTTCTATCTCCTCACCTGCTGCTTGGCGATCGCAGGCGGAGTCCATGATCCAATCCGGGGCCTGGCCTCGGAAATGGCTGGGGCGCACCGCCTTCACCGCGGCGACTTTGAGTTCCCTGACTTGGTTCCGCAATCGAGTTGGTCTGAAGGACGCCTTTGTGGAGGACCCGATTCTGTTGGGCATGCTGGCGGTCCTCCGGAGCCAGGTGGCCGAGGCCCAGGCGCAGGCTGCTTGCCGAACGCTTCGGGGACTCCGCCGACTCCATCGCCAACGCTCTCGGCTTGTTCGGCGGGGCCTCGGACTCTCGGACATGAATGCCTTCACGTCTCTGCTGGTGGGGCTGGAAGAGCGCAATCGCGCCATGACGCAGGCCATGGACCTCAAGTACCAGACCATGATGAACCAGGTCGTGCAGCACGTCATGCAGATGCAAGGCCAGGGCACCACCTCGTCGGTGGCGACGAGATGGAGGAGACGGGCGCGGACCCCCGCGTAGAGGAGCTGAAGCTGGACGGCGAGCGAGTCAAGGCAGGGCAGCGCCAGCTGATCTCCCAGGCGTGGGACCGGCGCCGGCGGGATCAGCTTCTGATCAGTTGCACCAGCAAGCAGGTCAAGGAGGTGATGGTGAGCGAGTTCTACGCCGAGCGGCGCCGAGGGATGAATGAGGCCTTCGTGATGGAGATCCCGATGCTAGATCTACACCGACACGGAGCCAGTGGTCAGGGCTGCTCGGATCCGCGGACACACCACGGGCAGCACGCTGACATTAAACACGGGGGTGGGACTTCTCGAGACGAGATCACCGACAGCGTGCCATCGAGATCGTGCGGCGGGAACGCCCATACTTCTTGGTCTTGGCTTTTCCTTGTGGACCGTGGTCGCCTTTACAGCACCTGTCGACCCCCCGTGACCGTCTTCAGGCTTTGCAAGCTGAGCCTATGCCTTTGGTGTCGTTTGCTGCCAGGTTGGCCCGAGAGCAGGTGAAGGCAGGCCGTCACTTCTTGATCGAGAATCCGAAGAACTCGCGTGCTTGGAAGACTCCTTCGATGCAAGCTCTACGGCGTCTTCCTCAAGTTCACGCTGTTGACCTGGACATGTGCCGATTCAATCTTCGAGGTCCTGGCGGTCTACGACATAGAAAGGCGACTCGGCTTTTGACTTCAAGCCAGGCCGTTGTCTCCAGCATGCTGGCAAGGAAGTGCACCGGGAAGCACCAGCATGAGCCGGTCATTGGTGGATCCAAGATCACGGCGGCGGCAGGCCGTTACACGCGGCAGTTCTCCACCGCCCTGGTGCAAGCTTTCGAGGACCAGTTTAACTTCGAGACCGTGGCGGCCCAGGCTGGCGTCCAATCCCATGACTGCATGGAAGTTTGTGGTGGCGCTGGGGCGGTCGACTTCTACCACGACGTCTTTGTGCAGGACGAGGCCCTTGAAGGCGGCGACATTGGCCACGACAGCGACCTCGATGACGACCTTGGCGCCCCATATGACGGCGAGATCCCTGCCTCGGTGCGCTTGGCGGTGAAGCGGGTTCATGAAGCAACGGGCCATCGACGAGACGACGCCTGGCCCGAGCACTGTTGATTTCCGGCGCCCCTCCGGCCGCTGTCCAAGCTGCTCGAGAGCTTCGGTGTGAAGTCTGTGACGAGAAGAAAGCTCCCAAGGCGAGGCGCGTTGGATCATTGCCGGCTCCGAGGGCGGTTGGTGAGCAACTTCACTTGGACCTCCTGATGATTGACGACGCGGTGGGAAAGTCGCACGTCATCGTCCACGCCGCCGACGCCATTAGCAAGTACCAGCTGGCCTCGTTGATACCGGACAAGTCCTCCAAGGAAGTCTGTCAGTTCCTGAGCCGCATGTGGTTTCCTTTGCTTGGACCGCCGCGCACGATAGTGAGTGATCAGGGCCGTGAGTTCGTGAGCGAGGCTTTTCAGACGTTCTGTTCGGAGCATTCGATACTCCTTTGGCATACTCCTGTGCAGGCCCCTTCGGGTCAATGGCGTTGCCGAGCGCTCGGGTGGCATCTTGAAGACCATCGTCGGGACCTTGGTCGCCCAGCGCGTGGTCAGCGGCGAGGACGGCGTGCGCGACGTCATCGGCTTCGCTTGTGCGGCCTACAACGAGGATGTCAATGCGGAGGGCGTGTCTCCACTTCAGTGCGTCACCGGGCGGCAACCTCGACTTCATGGATCCGTTCTTTCGAACTTTCCCCAATGCCTTCCCGAACACGGGCTGATCGATGCCGAGGCCAGCGCGTCTCAACGAGCTGCTCTCCGGGAATCCGCCCGCGTGGCCATGCTGAGGCTGCGCTACTCCCAGTCCATTCGACGGGCTGAGCTTGCACGGTCCTGGGAGCCCACGATACAGCGGGAGCTCAACCCTGGCGACGTGGTCTTCTTTTGGCGAGCGCAAAAGGCGGTGCGGAACAGCCGTCGCAAAGGAATACTTGTTGCACTCGAGAATAAGAAGGATGCGACAGTCCCGGCCTCGGCTTTCATTTCGTACCGTGGGCAGCTGACCAAATGTGCGCTTGAGCATGTACGGCCGGCCTCGACCCTGCAAAAGCTGGCTGCTGGAAGTTGGGAGGCTGCCATCGATGACATGATCCGTGAGCTGCCGGAACCCCCGTCTGAGTTGCCGGATGGTGGCCTTACCCTTGTTGAGGAGGCTTCTGATGGCGAGGCGGGTGCGGACCCCGAAACCATTGCAGTGGTGAACATGGCGCCGCCGACGAGTCGAGCGACTTCTTCACCTCCTGCGTCTTCGCAACCTTCTACGGCAACTCCTGGAACTCCCGTTGGGCACTTGCTGCAACGACCTGTTATTCAACGTTCTCTCTCCCGTGCCGGTGGCTTACCTTTGGAGGCTGAGCTTTGCAACCGGGCACTTGGCCGAGGACAACCTGCTGACTTTCAAGCTGAACTTCAACGTGCCATGGAACGTGGACGGCTTCGGCGCACCAGCTCCGAGGCAGGCCTTGACATGGAGGGCATGGACCGCCAGACGAGTCACTTGTCTTCAGAGCCTCCTGCGTCTGTCAGACGCCTGAACGCTGAGCCCTCGACTACGACCACTGGCGGACATGTGGCCCCTTCACCTGACGCTCAACAACCGCCTGAACCTGTGCTTGGACTTCCGGCTAGCGCCACTTTGGCGCCTGTGACCGCTGCACCTGCTCAACAACCAGCTGAACCTGGGCCTGGGCCTTCGGACACGTTGTCAGCGTCTACACTTCGACCTCGTGGCTTGTTTGAGGCGCTCACCATGACCAAGTCCGAGTTGGAGCGCATGGCCAGTGAACATAGCCAGGTACACCCCTTGCTCAAGATCCAGGCGCAGGTTGAGATTGATCGCCAAACGCCATGGTCCACCTTGGAAGAGGAGCGAGACCACGGGACTTGGGATGGCAGATGGAGCCTGCCGTCTCGCTCGCAGTGGGAGGCCATCAATGATATTGGCGCTATGCTCCCGACCGGCGCCAGTGACGACCGTGAGGTCTTCTCGGCAACGGCTCGCAAGGAGTACCAGTGGACCAAGCTGTCCGAGGAGCGCAAGAAGCTTTGGGCTGCTGCAGCCGACAAAGGCTGGAGGGCATACACTGAGAATGCTGCCGTTGAGGTTTTGGATGCCAAGCAATCCGCAGCCGTGCGGCGCAACCTTGCGCAACGGGGGGAGTTAGACCGAATACTCACCCCGCGCTTCGTGCTGACAGACAAGGCGGATGGGGCAAGAACAGCCAGCAATCCACTCCCGATCGAGGCGTCCGCTCGCCTCGTCGTCCCTGGATTCAGAGATCGTGCGAACCTGGATGGGGAAATTCGAAAGGATGCCCCAACGGGCTGTCGCCTGTCTCAGCACTTGCTCCTGTCACTCCTCGCCTGGCACGGCAAGGATTGGAGTATGCTTTCCGCCGACGTAGGCGGCGTTCCTAAAGGGAGACCCATTTGTGGCTCGAGAATTGTACATCTCTGCCACAAATGGGAAGACAAGCCCCTCAATACCCATCATATCAGGATTCTTGGAAACAGACTCCGGAACCATAAGCAGACTTTGGAATATAAAAGCATCTACATACCCATGTCGGGCATCTCTACCTACGATTGTGGGTAGGTGGTTTTGGCTGGCTGGTGGGTGGGTGTTGAAGATTGGTGGGTGGGTGGGTGGGCGGGCCGGGGGGTGGGTGGATGGCTTTTGGTTTGGCTGGTCGGTGAGTGGGATCATNNGATCATCCTTTTGAGGTAAGATATTTTCGATGAGTTTCGCTTTGGGCAAAAGATTGAAGCTGAGCCTGCAATCGAATATACGTCTTCTCTACTATCATATGAGGTACACCAGCATCGCTGCATCAGGAGCCAGCGCCTCGCGACATCGGCGTCCACAACCAGAACGCCGATTGTTGAACCATGACCCATGAACCTTATAAACCCTAAGCCTT